CACCTGGAGGAATTCAGCCATCAGTCTACTGTTGACACTTTTTTGGCTTTCCCAGGACGCGCAGTGAAAACGAATTACCTTCTCATGAGCCTCAACTACATGCAACAAATCTCTTTGAGAATAAGCTCCACAACCTGAAAGGTGCGATTGGCTTGGTAGGGGCATTTCATTTAGTTCCCATCCCTCACTGTAAATCCCTACTGTAGAGGCCTGTAAATAACTGTGAAGCTATCCAATAGCTCCTTGTATTTGGCAAGAGTCTACGGGTCTCTCAAAGTAAAGCGCGTACTTCAACGGGAACTATACCGCTAGGAAGAGTTCAGTATGCCCCTTTCTCTTCCCTGCTAACCCCCTCCCAATGCCGAACACCGCTCAATCTCAATTCTCTAGTGTAGAAGCATTCGAGCAATAGTACTTTCAGATACTAATCATCTTGTGCTGGATCGGTACGCTCGCTCTGGCTGTTGGCTACTCATTGAGTGAGTGTTTTTGATATGGTGCAGAAGAGGAACAGAAGTGCAGATATAAAAGAAAATGTTTCCACTGGTGAAGAAAGGAAATGTGTGGAAGAGACCATTACAGAGTGCTTGGACCCACTGCTTTTTAAGGAGGGAGATTCAGAAGATCTCTGCTAAAAGCTTTTCCCTGAGATCAGACGAGGTGCTCCTATAAACGCCTCCCAAAGAACATAACCGCTGCGGAATTTTGTCTGGCCGCAGGGGAAATGGCTCATAGCTCAGCTCTTGAAAAATCTTTTTCGAACCATGTAAACGAATGTTTCCTGAAACGAAATATAATATGTTCCCCGTTTCATGCCAAGCTAAATATGTATTTCCGAAATTTGACCGATAATATACGCTCCCTCCTTACGCTCGAAGGAGGAAATCGGTAAGACGGAAGGTAGGTTCAGGGCAGGTCGTACGTTGGAAATCTCCAGCTTCGGGGCCGCACTTGGTCACTGGTCACTGGAAGGAAAGGGGAACGCGCTTGGCCTTGAGTGGCTTTGAGAGAAATGTTCTCGACTGCTGACGTTTTTTCGGCTTTTCTTGTCCAAATGTGCTATATAATCCTTCCCTACCCCAGGAATTTTTCGAAAAAAAAACTCAGGAAAAAGGGAAGGGGCTTGGGAAAATTCAGAAAGATAGCAGGCAGGATGGGGGATGGGAATTGAGGCCTGTTCTACAGGAAAAATTTTGCGGGGATCGCATTTAGCACAATTTTTCTCAACGGTAGGAACGCTGCAGGTGGGCTGTGAAGGGGATCGTAGTGATGTTGGCATTTTTCTCAGCTCCTATACACTAATATTAATATTGGCCGCGAGGCCACCTACCTCAGACAGGTATCGAACAGTGGAGGAGGCGCGGCATATTCTTAGATCTGAGAATCTATTAACACTTATCTGAAGTTAAATTCCCTCGGAAAAAGCCGTAAAAATTGAATTGTTCGCTAACTATCAACATAGCATGAAAATTTTTCGGTTGGGAGACTACTGTGTAAACTCATGGTGTTATTCAATGGACCTTGAGTAAACGGTGACCCCAGAGAGCCGATTTACCTATGTCTATACTTTATTCCACCTCATCTTTCTCTTATTGACCTTTTCGACGAGCAGTGTTGATTATGTATGGATAGCATCACATGAGGTCAAGCTCTCCCTTTCTAGATGGTATCGGCTACGTTTTCGACGAAGTCTATTTGGTCTGGGGTGGAGATGGTCAGGAGCAATCCGCTGCTGCTTTCGGATACGTCGGAATTATGGTTTATGCTTCCACAGCGGCAATGTTCACCATGAATGTTATCACATTTGCAAAATTGATAGCTCTTACAGTGAGTTTGAACTTCTGATTGATATAGTAGAATGAGTAGGGGCAGGTGTAACATAGAGTGATGATCCCCATCGACTGGCCGCTTTCCCCATCTACCGAGTAGTGGATCGCTTAGGCGAAAAAGTCTCGTCGCATTATTTCGGACGCTGAAGCGTGTCAGGCCGGGTAGAGCGGTAGCCGAGGGGGGCGCGGGGCTCGACGCTGGCGGCCCAGCCCGTGCTCCACCATTTGTAATGAGAGCTGAGACCGGCGACTACTATTGATGGAAAACTGGTAGGCGCCGCGCCAAACCCATCCCACGCCCCTCCAACACACCCCAACTTCCGCAGCGAACAAAAGTGTATGCCTTATATTGTGCCCTTGCATCGCGAAAAGGGACTCAGAAACATTGCTCAAGCTGCTAGGGCTAGTCATCTTGTAGCAGGAACATTTTCACCCCTGCTATACAGGATTGCGGTTGGTCCGACAGATCTAGCTTTCTAGCAGGCTACCAAGAGCGAAAGTCGCCTCTAGGGGTTGCCCCGCTCTTTCAAAATGCGTTTTTTTCTTTCACTTGTGGGGTTGCAACATAGACACACAAACCAATGGGTTCAATCTTTCGCTAGACGCGGCCCACTAGGAACGCACAAAAAAGGCAGTGACAAGTCCGTTTATGTGACCTCTATATACGGAAGTTCACAACGCGACATCTGGCGAAAATCTGGTCGCGCCGCAGTAATCCAGTGTCAAAAATCGATGATCAGGACCATCGATTACCCCTACGGGCCACGACTTCTTTCTCCAGCCGAACCGAAAATTTCTCGGTTTTTTTTGAGATCGACTTTGTTCCCTTTAGGAGGACCCTCCGTTCAGTAACTGGCCAAAACTGCAAGTGATTCAGAGCACATAGAGGTCCTAAAAGGAAGCGGTTTACATAGATTTCTTTTTCGCTCTTTTTGGCATTCCTGGGATCGCTCAGCGAAAATGAAGAACCACTTTTGTGGTCCATGCGCAAGGCTGTGCAAAATGCAAAAAACCATTTCGAAAAAGGGGGACACGCCCTGAACGACCTCCCTTGTAAGTTCCATCCTGCCTCCTACATCATTCGTTATAAATAGCCTCTCGAGTGTTACTGCCGAGGAACGGTCAAAATGGGGAACATTCATAGATTCCGACCTTTGCACTCATTTAGCCTTCTTGATCTCAACTTACGTATTCCAGCGGCCATTCACTTCGCATAGTGACGCATCCACAGTAATCTTTGCTTTCTTGAATGGTTCAGTTTCAGAGATCGAACACCGTTCTTTCGAATGCAGAGAGCACCAAACGAATGAAAAGGAACAAAGTCCTTTTCGCTCAGGTTCGCTTTCGCTCTCCTACGAATAAAAGCAATACTAACTATTCTTGAATAAAAGTTTTCTAGAAAGTGTCTCAAGACAGTCTCTACCTGGTTGACATGCTTTTCGCACAAGTACTGTCCGTATTACTACCTTACAACTGGTGGACCTTCCTATGCCTAACATTTATCTGGGTGTTGTTGAACACCATCGACGGGTAATCTTTTGAGAAATCTTGAAACCACTTTACAATGGGCCCATTCGACGCTGATCGTGGGGCTAGGCCTACTGTTGTGCCTCTCTCGCTGGTGCGTCGCCGCTTTCCAAAGCAACGGAGGGGTCTTTCCAGAAGCTCGCCAATGAGACGCGCACAACGGTAGGCCGACTCCGCCCACACAAGCAGTGCGGAATGTGCAATTGAAGGCAATGAGCACGATCTCTGGAACGGGCGGTTGCTGATAGCGTTGCTAAAGGTGCGAGAGGGTGTTCAGCCACAACCCATTCAGCCCTTCTACCAATGATTTCATCAGTAACCGCTCGTCCCCAGACGTTCCCATGGCCTTTAAGGAGATAATTTCGGACCCTGATAATAGCAGCAGTCGAGGGGTGGGAGAGAGAGGGGGAAATGCGTTATTTAAAGCTTCTGTAGCGACCAGAATATGCTAGAAACCAACCAAAGCAGCTAGCTTACATGCAGACAGAGGAAAATTTATCTGTACTTACTCACAGGACCTCTACGTTAGCTTTGGTCATATGGAACAGGCCAACACAAGGCTCTTTTTCCCTCGCAACCGCTGAGAAGGTTCGGTTCCATCACCTCTACGCGCCTCAAGGCATGGGGCATGAGCAGGCAGTTTGGTGCTGGTATTCGCGCGGCAACGTGTATCTTCAGAATATGGCGACGGGCTTCTCCAATGGCCAGAGTTCTGAATGGGAATCCAGTTTGGGCAATGGCGCATTTTGAAAGAGTCACGTGTCTCTTTCTTCGCTTCCTTATCTTGTACGCGTACGTGCCTTAGAATCCCCACGGGAGCATATGGGGGGAGGCCAAACACGGTTTAGGTCTTGGGGGAGGGGCATTTTTTTTCACACTGCTGTCTCAGCTTCAGAGCGCAATTATAACACCACTTGTTCCCTAGCATCCTTCACATCTGGAATGATGCCGCACTGAAGGGGGATTGAGAAGGCCGTATTTAGCTTGAATTCCAGGTACCGTCAGGAAGGGCCCTAGGGATCTGCTCTCTCTAAGGAGCAGTTTTCACGGCGCTCATATCCATTCAATAGTAATGACCCAGGCTTCCGTTAGGTAGTTCAGGTAAATTAGTGTATGATGTGCCTTGCTTTGGATTCTTCATACTTGAGTTTTTGCACTTGACACTGCCCAGTGCAACAATCTTCCCAAGAAAAAGCCTATGGAAATCGGTGTAAAGTAATGGTGCTTGCAGGATGTAATGATCGTTTTTCTCGGCGAAGAGCTCTTCCGGATCGCTGTTGCGTCGACAACTTGAGACGTATTTTTTGGGAAGTTTTGTCCAAAATAAAGTCAGATAAAGTTGTAGTCCGGCAAAAGAATCGAAAGGCCGTGCCCGGTGCTTACCATCTCCCAGCTTCCGTTAAGTGATAGATGGTAATTGCAAGTTCTGTGTAGCTCAGATGGTATAATAGTTATTTTGTTCGAATAAAGGTATCGACAAACAGGCTTGTAACTCTTGAGGGCTAACAATCCTCCATTATAATGGGCGGACGTACTGCCCATCGCACCTTGTTTCAGCAGCCGCGCGCTCCTCTTCGACAGCTCTTCCGGAGGGCGAGCCGCACTTATTTAAGATGTGTAGGCCGTCTGTTCGCTAACAAAAGGCTGGAAACGTTTGAATGGGAGGCTGCGTCTGCCAGCGCGTTCTGTAGTAAGTGTTGAAGTGGAAAAGAGGCAAAAGCTGGTGGAGAACAGGCTGGCGCCGGGCCTGACTAATGTAAGCCTCCCGGCCTGACACGTTCACTATAGTCTGTAGAGGAGACAGACCAGAGGTCAGAGTGGATCGTCCTTTCTACGTAAGTCAGTCTGATTTTGTTGCAACGCTCAATTGAGGCTAAATTATTCTCTCCTTTCTTGATTTGTTGAACTATTTTCAAATAAATTTGCAACTGGCTGTAACTGTGGAACACTAATGTAGACCGACCTCCGTCAGACTCGAAAATAGCCTGATAGCTTCTCAATGAGCGCGGAACATTGAAAAGCGCAGAGCTGATGCCAAAAGCGTCTCTGCATTCAACGATCATAAGATTATTCAAACTGATTCGCCTACTTTCTAGAATGTAACGAAGAACATATTAAAAGCAATTGGCACGATGGTTTCCTGGTTTCTTTAATTGCCTTTCCTGACGTATGGCATGAGCCTAAAATGTTAGTAGGGCGCTGTATAGTGGGGAAATGGCGAAAGAACGGAGTGAAACGGTCAAAATCGCGAAAGAAAAAGCCTCCGTTCTCATGAATTGTGAATAATCGTTTTCGACGATGTTTTCCCGTAGGCATCTTGCCAATCACCGTTACCGAAGATACGGCTGCATATGTGTACCCATATATGCATGCAGCATCACGGCCGCTTCATACCAATCCCTTCGCTTCATAATTTGCTTAGCAAATGAATGAATACGAGCGTCAGGAACGGTCGTCCATTTGTGGGCGGGCGGGCGTGGCGGGCGTTTAATTGGTTTGTGGATTGAATAGGGGCCCTTATAAGGCACCTTCCTCGAGGAAACCGCTATGCAGCGCCTGCCCAGGGTCACGGAATTCTATCCTGCCAGGAGTGTTGATCCTAGTCGTCTTAGGGGATTTGTCGTGCCAACTGCCTCTAAAGGACCAAAGAAATGCCATATGTACTCTCGCCAAAGAGTAAGTGAACTACTTCCGAAGAATTTTTTGCGGCCCGCGTCCATAAAGTCGCACAGAAGCCAGTTTGCTTGACGTGCAAACAAAATCCTGTTAACTTCCTACAGACGTCCCTGCTTTCTTCCACTCAATATTAACCACACAGTATTGGCGGTACTTCAAAGTCTTCTAAAGCGCTTACTGCCCAGGGCCTGCCATCGTTGTGGAAACCCCACCGAGGTGGGGGTGGTCGTAATTGACCGCGTGAATGGGCCTGGGATTGTCTGGTGCAGGTCTTCAACTGAGAGGTGTGTGAAAAAACAGCGCTAGCCTCAGCTGTCGCACTGCCACTGATGATGGAAAAATTTACTCATGCTCCTGAACAGAGGCAGACCTCAGAAGTGCGACTACATGGAAGGAGCTTACTCAGGTCTTGGAAGGGCAATCGGGTGTATGGCGCAACACAGAGGCAATGTCACTCGGCGCCGAAATAGTCTGTGATAACTTTGACGAAATATATGTGCCGCCTCATCAAGCTTCTCAGGTCTCCAATACTGAAAATGGAAAGTTGCGCTGCTGTCAGGGTTGGTTTTTCTTGCCTTCGTAACTTTTACAAAGAAAACATAACGGGGAATTTTTGAAATGCCCAAGAAAAAGTGTGGTGCTTCCTTAGACAAATTTCTTCAATAATAATCTGTTTGAAATTGCTGGAGCACAGTCAATACATATGGAACCTAGTGCTTCAGCTAAACCTCGTCTCTTTACGGCCTGTTTTTCTGCCTTTCATAATGCTTAGCTATCAAAAAAGAAAACGTCTATGGATGTTCAAACAAAAGGGTACTTCCGCGGAGTTTTTGGCCTCTCGAAAATTTGGCGGAGCGAGCAGCGCCTTTCAATGACCGATGGTCCAGGTCTTGATGGCGACAGCAGGTCAATGAGGATTAGAACATTAGTCACTGATGTCTCAGTTGTCTAGTACCCACTGAAATCGGCGCTTCATACAGGCTAATCACGGCCTAAGAAAACGCTGCGCCCGTGGTCGCTCGGCGGAGGGGCAAATTACGACCCTCTTGCCGTCCTCTACTACGAAATGTGTCTTTAAGTGAATGACTGATTTCTCCACACGGTGCCGATACTGTAGCCTCACACGACTGGGACAGGTGCAGCATCAGCTCTTTTTTATTCTGTATGCCCCGTGGGCTTACTTAGTATAGCTTCTGTATGCCCGTGGAAGCTAAGGCCACCAGCTTACATTTTCATAGAACCAGGACAGATTGAGCTCGTGCTCCACGGCACCCCATTACAGATTGAAAGGAAGACTACAGCTAGTGGGAAGAAAGCTCCATGCGTCATTGTTGACCTATGAGTCTTTCGCAAATAATCATCGCAAACAATAGCAGATGTTTGCTGTAAAAATTGAACAAAGGGACGACGTGCTAAATATTCCAATTGCGAAACTACGTGTGTATAATCCGTAGAAATCGCTTTGCGCTAGACCTTGGCCGAATTTGTTCGATCACGTTTGTTTGAGAATGTGAGACGTCACTGGAATCCACTTGATTTCCAGGGCGTGGTTCTTACTTGTAGGTTTTTGAAGGTTGAAGCTTATTGTGATTGTAATTCGTAGGTGCGCCGGAGGCTGTTAGTGGCAAGTGGTCTGCTTACCACCTGCCCAGGCACCCACGCTCTTAACTCCAAGCCTTCTGAACTCCTGGTGCTATATTTGTAGGATAAAGCCATTGAGTCGCGCTAATCCGCGACATTTGGTGAGAAAGGCTGTTCTGGCTGCATTCCAATCCCATCTTTGCAGGGATATTGATCGAACCCGTAAAACAAACTGCTCTGATTTACAAAGGTAGCATCATGAGCGAATTTTTAATCCAAGAGGGCTGAAAGGGGTTGTACTGAGAATCTGTTTTCGAGGGGTCGTAATGACGCGGTGCTTCCACTCATCCCGACGCTGGGCTCTGTCCAGTAACTAGCTGAGTAAATATACAGCATCAAACTCCATTTAACTGGCCTGCACTGCTGTAACCCTCCCCTCCATTCGTAGACTTATGCGTGTTGGCCTGCACTTCTGCAATCCCTTCCCCCCATTCCAAGATTTATGCGTGGGTGAGCTGCAGTATGACTCAGGATGGACCACCTTGATAAGGTGCTCACACGTTGATTCAGCGCATTATTCTGTTGAGTCAGCGACGTATCGTCGTCGGTCAGGACGACGTCGTATCGATTTTCGTACTGCTACGCCAGGACCAGAGCCAATTTCTCTGACTTTCTTCCCTTACTTTTTCTGAACTCTTTCTGCTCTAGGATTTCATCGGTAAAGTTATTACACATGTACCTGCTGCGCTA